TAACTTAAAAGCAAGTTGTAATTGTTACCTCTTATTCACAGCAAGCATGTTCTACTCTATACTAAATCACATAACCTGCTTGGTTTCAATATTCTTGCTTGAAAGACACTGCAATAACTACATCTGCTGAGCTACAGCAAAAAAGAAAAAGAATTCTAAGCTGTGATCAAAATTTGTGAATATCAGCACATCTGTGAAGGTTTTACAACAAAAAGGCCAAGAACACTACTATAAAAATAGTTATCAATGAACACTAGGGTCACAAATGTAGTAAGAATGACAACAAAAATAAAATTTATTTCCAAAGATTTAATAATATATTACAAGAATACCCTGAAACACATATACCAATTTCCTAAGTTGAAGTTCCAAACGCCAAATTAGCTTCTACAAAACACTACCATCTGCCAAATTAAGTTAACCTTGTTATTCTGAATTATCCTAATCTTGTAGCTTTGGTTATAGCTAAGTTATCAGTTTTTTTTAATAATAATGCATAAGACCTATACAACAGAGAATAAAAAATATATTCCTAGTTTATATTTAAGCAAGTTTCAATAAAACTATAATAAAAGTATTTTAATTCAAAGAAGAGAGTTCCTAACACCTGTTTTCTTTTGAAATGGTCCCAACTCAAGTATAAAAAAAAATTGTCATCAGGTGGAATACCAATGGGGAGAAGGAGAAACTGTTAAAAAAAAAAAAAAAAAGTTGCTGGTTCTCCAGAGGGGAAAAATGAATTTGGACACCTACTCAAACAATACGCAAAAATCAAATCCACATGGCATAAACTTAAATGCCAAAGACAAAATTAGAAAAAGATTAGTGGGCAACAAATGAAAATATCATTATGAAACAGCATGGAGGTTTCTATAATAAACTAATTACATGAGACTAAATTAAAACTATGAACTTCTATTCATGAAAGGACACCATAAAAGGCACTGGAGATTTCATTAAGGCATAACTGATTAAATCATCAGTCACCAGTAAGTGAACTCAATCTGCAACCCCTCTCTACCCCACCCCAGAAAATGGTATTTACAAAGCACATACAGTCGCAGTTGTCCCTATCCATGATTCCACTTTCTAAAGTTTGTTACCAGCAGTCAATCACAGCACAAAAATATTAAATGAAAAATTCCAGAAATAAACGTATTAAGTTTTAAACTGTGCTCTGTTCTGACTGTGCATAGTGTGTGATGAGCTCTCGCTCCATGCTACTCACAACATGAATAATCCCTTTGTTCAGCATATCTACACTGTATGCACTACCTGCCCTCAGGCACTCAGTAATCCTATCAGTTATCAAATGTTTGGAGAGAGACGCCACATTCACACAGTTTTTATACACTATATTGCTATAATTGTTCTACTTTGTTATTACTTGCTGTTTTACTCTCTTACTGTGTCTAATTTATAAATTCAACTTTATCACAGGTATGTAGATATAGGAAAACGCATACTACGTATAGGGTTCAATATATCCACAGTTTCAGGCATCCACCGGGGATCTTGGAACATATTCCTTGAGGATAATGGGAGACTTGTAAGTGGAAAACCAAAAGCTGTATTTAGACTATAAATAACTACTTCAAATCAGAAAGAAAAAAGTGAACAACAAAAAACGCACAAGAGAAACAAATGTGAATTTCACAGAAAAGACAATCCATAAACATATAAAAAGACAATCAAATAGTTTATTAACAGAATAGTAAAGTTCAATATATACAGAGTATAAATGAACTACAACATAAAAATTGTTAACAAAATATTGGCAATCTAGAAATAGAAGGAAACTTTTTCTTAAAAAAGGCATCTACAAGAAGTGCAACTATGATCATACTTAGTAGTTGAATGCTTTTCATATAAAGTAGAAAACAAGACAAGGATGTGTCATCACCACCTCTATTCAACATTGTACATAAAACTCCAAAGCATGCAATTCAAAAATGTATAAAAGGTTGCAAATAAGGAAAATTATGAGAACTAATAGGTGAATTTAGCAAGGTCACGATATACAAGTTTCATATACAAAAATCAACTATATTCTCTATACCAGCAAAAAACAATTGGAATATAATACTAAAATTAAAAAATATATAATAGCACCAAAAAAATCAAGCTATGCAAGGACCTATAAATTATACTGTTGAAAAACTAAAGAAAATTTAAATAAATGGAAAAATATAGTATGATCTTGGGTTGAAAGACTCAAGTATTGTTAAGAAGTCCATTTAGTCAGAACTGATCTATATATTCAACACAATCTCATTAAAAAATCCCAGCAGTTTCTTTGTCCAGCTGTACAAAATGCTTCAGAATTTTATTTGGAAACACAAAAAGATCTTCAATAGGCAAAACATTTTTTTAACAAGAGCAAAGCCGAAGAACTTGTATTTACCAATGTCAAGATACATTTCAAAGCCACAGTAATCAGGACTGTATGGTACAGCAAAACGATAGAAAAGAATAGAGTTCAAAAACAGGCCCACTTATACATGGCTAATTAATTTTCCATAAAGATACCAATGTAATTCAATGATGAGAGGATAGTCTTTCCAAAAGAAAGTGCTGAAACAACTAGACAGCCATATGTAATAAATGAACTTGACTCTTACAACTCAAAGCAAACACAAAAATAAGTTCCAAATGGATCATAGAGTCAAAATGATAAAGTTTCTAGAATAAAACACACACACAAAGGTTGCAAACTAAGGTTCAAGAAAATAGGTTAAAGGGTTAGAGTTTAAAAAAAAAAAAAGTTAAACCATTAAACTTCAATATTAAAATATTTCAACTTTAAAGAAACTTGGCGAGACCTTCTCTCTACAATAAATCAAAATGAGCCGGGCGTGGTAGTGCGCGCCTATAGTTCCAGCTACTCGGAAGGCTGAGGCGGAAGGATCGCCGAAGCCCAGCAGGTCGAGGCTGCGGTGGCCGGGAGCGGCCACTGCACTCCAGGA